TGTTGTTTGTAATATAAAAATGACAAAGTTGCAATGCTGTAACACAATTGTGTATATCAAATTTATCCAAAGAATGAACAAATTCAAAGGAATTTTCCTATTCACATAATGCCTTTGCGTTTGAAAGGGCGGGGCTAACTGTAAATCGGTTATATACATGAGTTTAAGAAACTTCTATATATAAACTGTAACCTATACATGGTTTCTTTTAAATGACAAATTTATTCCTCTATAATAATTTATAAAATATTAGAAAAAATACCGTGGGGGAGTTAGGGGATGAGTTGACCATAGGACGAGTTGACCAAAAAGGTGACAAGCTGACCACGGGACGAGATGACTCGAAATCGAATTATGGGTCAGAGCTAGCCCTTAATATATGCCTGTATTAACCTTTTAAGGGCATGGCTGAAAAAATTTAGGGGGTCCATACTGGATAGTGAAAACTACTTATCTGACCTGAGTCCTTATTGGCAGATGGACCCACAATAAATGTAGACTACCAACCTACCAATCTTCATCAAATCTGTATCACTTTACAAAGAACATCCAATATGTAATTTAGTCGTAACTTGTCAAAATGACCCTCAACATTCTGTGCAATGTGTATGTCAGTCAAAAGCTATACATAACTTATGTTTTGTGAAATTATATATATATTATAGCGACAGAAAATAAATTTTGATTTGTGCCAAGTGGAAACCCTGCCCTCACTGGCAGATTGACCCTCACTAAACGTAGAATACCAACTTTTTTATATCCATCAAGCTGTATTACTTTACAAAGAACATCCAATATGCACTCTGTATATTCTTTGTAGTACACCCTCAATCTGTGGTTATCATCATTACAGAAAGACACTGATAAAGAATCCCTTACAGCCAGGGAATGTGGCATTGGATAATGAACAAGCCCTCTTAGAAAATAACAAGTAAAGGTGACAATTCTTACGGAAAAAAGTTGACAAGGTTTTACAGAAATTTTCTTGTGGGATGTAGCCTGTCTTCAGCTACAGAGCTCTATAAAATAGAAAAAAGCGGTGTGAAGTTACGTCAGCTTCTCAGCTAATGACTGCAAACAGGCGAGTGAACGTGGCCCCATTAAATGCTGATTAATGTTTTTTAAATTAACTAGCACGGACTCTTACTTTCGCTAAGGATGGCCATTCCATCGGGTCATTGAAATCAAACAGCATGTTGAGAAGATGAACTATATTTGTATGTTAGCACCGTTTATAAAAATTATAACTTGACTTTTTGTACGGTACACCGGTTTTGTTGTCGATGGAAGTTTGTTCCATAGCTTGATTTCGGTCTCGGTATACGCTACAATAATAAAAATCAGAAGAAACAAACCAATCAAAATAATCAGCATTGCATTTTTTTTATTTAGGGAGGGGAATGGTTTAGGGTGCTTACTGTATAAGTGGATATTTCAGTGTGTCAAAAGGTTAGGAAATTTAGAATTCTTATGATCCCTTTTTCAAAATTCGATTTTATTTAGTTTTGCCCATTATTTGTTGTTGTTTTTTTTTTTCGTTTAGGATACACACATTTTTTCATTTGGGGACCTTATGCTGCTTTCCATAGAATGGCACTAACTTGTCAGATCGAACGTTCCATGATAACCGCCATATGAACATATATGCAGATGTTTCAAAATTCAAAAAAATTACCAGTTCATGTTAAATGTTGAATTCTGCTTAAGTCGGTGCTAGGGGGCGTGAACGGTAGATTGTAATTATCGCTTCCGTGATTAAACCGAGCCTGCAACTTGTTTTTAATTTTGCAACTTTGCTTTCAAATGGTTGGTTTAAAATTGAATCCAAGATAAATCCATTACACAAAGTTAGCAGGTAAATGTTAACGGCAGAGATTTATCAGATTTACCCGCCTATGAGTTATACAAACACGTGTTTGTGAATGCTATTAATTTGTAATTCCGATATTTTTACAATTACAGTACGACTACGATACTATTGACTAAAATGACACCGAAGTGGTCTATGTCAGCCAACAGCAAGATTTATATACTAAATTGTACGCCTGGGTCTGCGGTTTCTGCAGATATTCATTTGACTCGAGTCCAATACAATACAGCTGAGTAGAACCACCGACGTACGAGAAAGATGGTTATTTGCTTTTTGTTATTTAAATAAAATTAAGTGGTCAAATCATACCCAACTCACTGTTTCTTTGTAGCTACAGATTGTACGGAATTACATCATTTACGTCAAATAATTTAATATTGAAAGATTGTTACCGATGTACGATTTTATGAATTACCAAACATGTTTACCAATGAAATAATATACATCATACGTTGTACGGTGAACTGTATACAAACTTACGTTAGGGATTAAGCCTTATATTACAGGAAAGCAGACCCAGCAAACTTGTACAAAATCGAATCTGCATTGGAATCAGTCAAACTATTTTTTCACGGTTTTCTCGAGAATATTGTGTTTTTACGGAAATTTCAACAATTTATATACAAACTTAACAAATCGCCGGTCCAAAAAGCGAACTATGCAGGAGAGCTTTGAGCCTTATATTACCTTGAAGAAGATCAAATCAACTGATATGTACAGCATTATTTATAAGTACGTAGCGTTCATTTTACAAAAGCTTACTGTACAGGATCTTAATTCCTATAAGAAAGTTCTCTAAAATGCATTTTTGTCGCACCTAACTTATTTTTATTTTGATAAAGTACCGAAATTATGTGACTCTTAATTTAAGAAGGATGTCGACGGTCCAAAAACGACCATGCCACACGGAAATCTCTAGTACATATTTCTTGGGTTAGGGCTTTGAGCCTTATATTGTGTTTCCATATTCTATATATAGGTTAGCCACATTTCAACGTCAATGCAATTGCAAATCTTGTTTTGATAATATTAAGAAAAATGACTGAACGGTCACCTAAACGTTGGACGTTTGTACGTACATGTTTTATAGCTCCCTTGTCTAACATTTTTATGAAATATGCATAGTAATCGGATAAAACAAATCGTTTATTTTATGTTTGGTTTAAATGACTTTCTATCTAGTGGGTTTGTTTTGAGTTTCACTTCATCGTTATTGATGACGATGTTGACGACAACGATGAGGGTAAACGCAGTGCTTTATGCATGTAGCTTTAGTTTGAGAAAGTATAATATGTAAGATCTAAGCTTTTATTTTTAAATATTGCAACTTATTAGTAAGCTTTAAAAATGGACAAATATGTTAAATAATTGTTTCCACATGTATCGTTACTAAAAAGCAATATATAATGGACAAATCTTTGCAATATATGTTTTACTTTACTTACATCAATATGTTTTTTTCTATGAGTTTTGGTTACATATGATGACTAAATGTTTACTTAACTTTGCGATCATGTTGAATTTTGCACTTTGTACCGAAAATTAGGTTCACCCTTCACTTCATATAAACGCGATTCAACGCACCCCCCACCCATGGATGATGAGAAAAAAATTATGTTATAAAAAGAAGTGGTCACTTTTTCGGCGCCGCCCTTATCAAATAGATACACCAGGTAGTGCCAAAGGGGTTATGTGCCCTCTTCTGCTGGGGGGGGGGGGGGGCTGCCGGTCCTTTCCTCGCCATGGAAATTTTGGACTTGTGAGAGGCTTAAAATTGCATCAGACCGATCGTGAGGTAACGTAAAACCAACACTGAAAAGTCTTTGACTGTATCTCTATCCATTGAGAAGTTGCAGCACTCTGAAGTCAGATTTGATGGAAAGAATCAGCTCAAAATAGTGATTTTTGGCAATTTTGAGATGTCCCGTCGTTGCCGTAGTAACATGAATTTTAAGATTGTGCATGGTCCAGTTAACATTTGTGCCAAATTTAGTCAGTATTTAAACATTTTTCACAGTTTAATAGCAATTTCTGAATTTGTAATAGGAGGCTTTTAAATGAAAACAGCCATTTTTCACAAAAATACTAATGGGAGAATGGGTTAATTACAAAAAAGACAATTGCACACAATATTGTACAAGTAGGTGCACATTAACGGTAGCGACATAGATTTAAATGATTTCATCAACAATAACAACAACAACATCAATATACTCATTTGCAACAGAAATTGTGCGCCTGGTTAATTGGTAATTCTGTATACATGTACTTACTTGTGCAAAATAATGGCATTTGGTATTGAGATTTGCAGAAATGTATTGACCACACAATGGTTTACTTTGTATTGGAATAAATAAATAAATAAATAAATAAATAAATTAATTAATTAATTAATTAACTAATTAATTGGAATTAATAAGAATTAATAATTGACTTGGCAGCATTGTGTCTTTTTGTAAATAGTGAAATGGGCGAAAAGTAAAAGTTGCAGAGTTGTGACTTTTAAACACTTCAATTTACCAATTAATTTGCAAGAGTATGTACAAAATTTGCATATAGCCAAGTGTACACTTTCTTATAAAACTAAGTATATTTTTTGTTTAGTTAAATTTAGTGAAGTTTAAACAAATATTTCATTTTACTTTGATCGTGACAAAATCTTATAAGCTTTTATGAACCACTCGCTTACTCTAACTTCCTAATACTGATGTCATAAATAGCAGCATAGTCGTTAACCAGATAGGACTCGAACCAAAGATTCCTAGGCTGAGAAGCAGAAACCTTAACTAATCAGCCACAATTCTTCTAGTTACAGTTTGACAACTAGACAAACCTACAAATAAGTTCCAACACGCCCCCTCCCGGAAAAAATAAGAAAAGATAAAAAACAATTGATAAGAAAACAACTTTGCACACGAACAACAACAATATAAAGAAACAACAGCCATGACAAAAGTACATGAAGAAGTAAAAAAAACAACAATTTTTAGATATTTTTAAGATCAAACAAAACAAAACATAGCATAAGCAGCCAAAAATAAAAACAACGAATAAGGAAGATGTTTGACATCAGTTAATTATCTTCCTGGTTTAAATCACGTGCAAACCTTCTGCTTATGACACACAGTTAGATATAATACTGTGTTGTAGTAAAGTCCGGTACAATTTTGTCATATCATAGTAAACATACATTTATCAATGCTTGAATAAAACATAACGCGTAATATTTACGACCAGCTTTTTACATTATACGGAGTGTGATATCTTAAGTTTATATGTAAGGATCAGGAATATTTAAACGTCCCAAAAATGAAGATTTTGGTTGTGATGTTTCTTGTGTCATCTCACTGGTGTACCAACGTTTCAGCTTTACCAAAATGTAAGTTTTTTGTTTGTTTTTTAGTTTGATAAGTGATCTTACGAGTAGTGTAAAACAATGATGTTATAGGTGTTACCATGTAAAATATTATTGTTTAATGAATAGAGAGCATGCAGATAAAAAGATATCTCTCAGATATTCCTAAAAGCTCGCGAGTGAAAATGTCTTCCGGATAAATGGCCTGGGGGTTATTAATCTTTTTTTTCTGACTTCTGTCTCGTGTCTCAGGATTTTCATGGGTGAACATTCTGCAGCAGTTTCTCACCAATCAAAACTTGAGATATGAGTTTAAGCTATGACAATTTTTTTATAAGCTTGGGCAGCTTTAAATGCACCTAGTTAAAGGACAGATATTAATAACTTTAAAGTATGACAGTGCTATTCGATATCGTAACTATTTAAGACCTTACATGTACATATAGGTTGTTTGTTATTAGACTTGTTTACTTGAATAAAATAAGTTGAGATTTTAAATGATTTATAATAAAGCAAAATTAGTTTAGTTTTTACCAATATCTATTAAGAGTTATTAAGTGCATAGGTTAAAAAAAGTTTAATATTTTGACATGATTGTTTCTAATTTTGTAATTCCACTTCATAAAAATGATCTATTACCTCGTACGTGATTCATGGAAAATTTTATAAATATTTTTCAAAATTTATCTTAAACGTTCAAATGATAAAATGTGCGCGACAGTCTGTTTATATTTTAGGCAGTTTCTAAATTTTACTTTCCATGTTTAATTATTGCTTTTTGGCCAATGACTATTAAAATAGTCAATCTTTCGGAATATTAAATCAATTAAGCACGACCTGACAACGAAAAAAATGAGCACACTTTAACTATTAAAGTTAATACATACAGGGTGTTTCATAATAGCCGTCCTTAATATAAGTGTTAATATAGGGTGTTTCATAATATTTGTCCTTAATATAAGCGTTAATATAGGGTGTTTCATATTATCTGTCCTTAAATAAACGTTAATATAGGATGTTACATAATATCTGTCCTAAATATAAGCGTTTATATAGGGTGTCTCATAATGTTTGTCCTAAATATAAGCGTTAATATAGGGTGTTTCATAATGTCTGTCCTTATATAGGGTGTTTCATATTATCTTTCCTTAATATAAGCGTTAATATAGTGTGTTTCATAATATATGTACTTAATATAAGTGTTAATATAGGGTGTTTCATAATATCTGTCCTTATATAGGGTGTTTCATATGATCTGTCCGTAATATAAGCGTTTATATAGGGTGTTTTATAATATCTGTCCTTAATTTAAGCGTTAGTATAGGGTGTTTCATAATATCTGTCCTTAATATAAGCGTTTATATAGGGTGTTTCAAAATATCTGTCTTTAATATAGGCGTTAATATTATTCTACACATATCAGTTTGAAATAAATTGAACATGTTTTACAAACATAATACCCTTTTATTTAATATATGATTCACAGACAATGCCTTGATAAGAATTGATATACTGAAGTATTTTTACGAGTTTGTTTTACCATTTTCATGTTTAAGTGTTGAAATTTGGTATATGGATGGTCATGATTTAAATGACTCAATGATATAATGTTTTCATATAAGTATAAGGATGTAAAATTAGTCACCAAAAAAGAAGATAGATAGTATTGAAGCTGTCTGAAGATAGCAAAATCAAGTCCTGCTGTATATGTCAAGGAAATTAATTTTTTGTAGTGTATTTTGTTCACATAAGGATAATATACGTAGTGTACTGATTTGTTGGTAATATCATCTTCATGTAATGAAGATTTATGCTGATTTTATTACGTGTGTATGGAATGTTCGTCTGCTATACATATATTCACGAAAATTGATGAAACATATATTAATCGTATAAATTGAATCTTAAGTTGTTTATTTTACTGCTTAGGTATCGTTTGAAGAAAAATAGTTCCAAGTTGTTGTTTGTTGTTTTTTTTTTGTTTGTTTTTTTTTTTGTTGGTTTTATTTTTTTGGTGTTTTTTTTATATAAATTTTCGCAAAAAAACAACAACACCATTTTCATGTGCCAAACCATTTGTCTGATTCCGCTGCGGATTAGCCCTTGCAAGAGTTTGAAGGCTCTTTGTTACAGTATTAAAATGTAAGGCACAAAGCTCTAACCCAAGGAAAATGGTTGAGATGCCCGCATGAAATTATCGTAGTTTGGACCGACGATAATCTGTAAACATTTCAGAGGCCCAATGTTTATGTCCTGGAGAGGTCCGCACTGTATTGTCGTTTTTGTGGGTTTTTATGGGCGATTTGATCTTTCTGTACATTGCTAAATTATATATATATCGTTTTGTTTATTTTCGTTTGTTTTCAGATTATATGGATGAACAATGTGGCGGCAGTTTAGACCTTACTGACATGGGATCTATCCGGCTCAAATTGACATCAAGTCATGTTTTTCAACCAAGCATGGAATGTACTTTACTAATAACCACATCGAAATACAATGAGCAGTTTATGCTTTTCTTCAGGGTAAGAGTGCTAAAAATTAATGAATAATAATTTGAAAACTATTGACTATATTTAACGTGTTTGTTGCATAAAAAGCTGATACTCTGCTCAAAGGAACTCCACTGAGGTCCAAAAAGCCGTCAAAATATAGAATTTTATTTAAGTGACATTCAGTGCTTCTAGCGTTTTGATCTATATTGCATTTTTCATGGAACGTTTCATTATGCAAAGTATCCCGATTATTTGCTTTAAATGTCTGAAATCGGGGGATTGGTACGTGTGCTTGCGATACCATAGCAGCTGTTGAAAATTTCGAAATTCAGTCTCGGTTTCAGGAAAAATTCTACAACAAGATTATCGTAAAGTAACAGCAAAGTAACTGTTGTCTGTAAAAATATTACTTAATTAGAGTTATATTCTTTTTTACGGTATACTAAAAGTCACGTGGGTTGGCTACCTAAGTAAAGGTGTTAAAATTTAATTGCACTACCTTTTTATAAGCCATTGGAGTAATGGGGTATAAAGGAGTTTCAAAAACAGTTATTATTCAGAGCGGGCGCTATGGTGCAGTGGTAACGCTGTCTGCCTACCAAACAAGGGGTCGTGAGTTCGATCCCCTGCTACGCCACTAAAAGAATTAATTGACTACGAGACTGACAAGACTGAATAGAACATACTAAGAGAGACTAAACAGTTAAAACATACAGAAACAGATTAAACGGACTAGTATTCAATTCAAAAGACCTAACAGAAAAGAGGAAAGAGACATAACGGAAGATAACGGAACAAATAGTAAAACGAATACAAAAAGTGAGTCACTCGGCAGAGTACAACAAAATTATATGGATAGAACAAAACACAGAGATATCAACGATACAGACAAGAGGACGACTTGATGGAACAAGACGCAACAATACAGCCAAGCGGACGACTTGATGGAACAAGACGCAGAATACATCAACGATACAGACAAGAGGACGACTTGATGGAACAAGACGCAACGATACAGAAAAGAGGACGACTTAATAGAAAAAGACGCAGATACAACAACGATACAGACCATGCAGACAAGAGGACGACTTGATGGAACAAGACGCAACGATACAGAAGAGGACGACTTTATGGAACAAGACGCAACGATACAGGAAAGAAGACAACTTGATGGAACAAGACGAGGAAAACATCAACGATACAGACAACAGGACGACTTAATAGAAAAAGACGCAGATACAACAACGATACAGACAAGAGGACGACTTGATGGAACAAAACGCAACGATACAGAAAAGAAGACGACTTGATGGAACAAGACGCAGAATACATCAACGATACAGACAAGAGGACGACATGGATGGAACAAGACGCAGAAAACATCGACTATACAGAGAAGAGAACGACTAAATGGAACAAGACACAGGGATATCGACGTTGCAGACAAGAGAACGATACAGACAAACAACATACAGGGTTATCGCTGATGCGACCCAGAAAACACAAAGCAGTACATGACAAGTCACTATACGAAACAGACAACAACACATTACTGTTAGTAGACAAGACAGGAATAAACTTGAACAGACAGACTTAATAGGACAGACAACAAAAGACATAACAGAAAAACAAACAGAGAATCAAGATATTTGGGCGAATGACTAAAATGTATAACATAACGGACAGCGAGACAGTTAACGGTACAAAGAAAGATAACACAAATATAACAAAGTATTCCTCAAGACACTGAATGAAATGGAAAATCTGTTAGAAAAACAAACATAGAACAAAACGGAAATCAACAATACAGAGACTAAACGGTTAAAAAAATATAAAACGGTCGTCACTGGCTAACAACAAAAACAAAACAAATGGTTAAAAATATATAGATACAGTCAATTGAGTTCTAATCTAATCAAATTACAAGAGTCTGTTCTTGACAGAACATCCATTAAAAACTTTAAGACAACAAGACACATATAACAGAAAAAAAAAATATGTTCAAATGTTCAAATATCTAGAAACTTTACATCAATTAAAATTTGAATATAGAGTTTATTTCAAAGTACATTTGGGCAATATGCCCATGCATACACAGTACATATAACAAAGCAAACAATACAATCAAATGGTCAATGTCACTTTTTTATAACACATATATCATTAAGTTTACAAAGTATTTTTTAACAATCAGAAAACGTTAACTGATAATAGGATATAATACTCCTTAGTGACACAAGTATCAACATGTCTCAATTTATATTACTAGTAAATAAATACTAAGGAGAGATACCATCATATCAATAAGGAAGTAAATCACAAAACAAAACGAAAATAAGTGTATGTAAGAAACAGTGATACAGCGTTTTGAACAAACTTTTGATTAACTGTAAAGAATTGTGTTTCGAACATCGAAAGTTTTAAATATATACATTGATAAGTTTCTAATTTCTTTTTCATTATCTGAATTCACCAATGTAACAAATTTAGGTATATTTGGTCTTTTCCAAAAGTGTTTTTTATATATATTTTTCGTTATTCATTATATATCAATATATGTGATTTGACAAAAGAAATGTTACCGATACGCCAGCCGTCATATAAAATAAGCAGTGATAATATTAACCCATTACTTCATGAGCATTTTGTGAAAAATGGCTGTTCTCATTGAAAAGTCTCCCGTTACAAGTTGTTATAAAACCATAAAAACTGCTTAATACTAATCAAACTTGGCACAAGTGTTGACTGGACCATTGCCTTTGCAACAAAATGCTCAGGCTTAAATTTCCTGTTACCATGGCAATGAGGGGACATCTCAAAATTGCCAAAAAAAAAAGCTTTTTTGCGTTGATTTTTTTCCATCAAAATTGATTTCAAAGTGCTGCAACTTCTCAATGGATTGAGAGAGAGTAAAATGTTTTTCAGCGTTGGTTACACGTTACCTTATGATCAATCTGGGGTCATTTTTAGCCTCTCCAAGATTTTCTTGGCGATGAGGGGGACTGCCGCCCCCTTCAAACCCCCCAAGCAGATTGGGGCACATCCCTCTTCTGGCAACCCCCTGATGTATCTTTTGGTTGGGGGGGGGGGGGATGGGGCCGCGCCGAAAAAGTGGTCACTCTTTTAAACAACATTTCTCAAACAAAAACAAGTGTTTGGGCCTAAATAAGGCATTTTTTAACCATTTGAGACAACAAAAAAGGGAGGGGGTGAAAAGGGCGTTAAAAGGCGTGTATATCGCGTAATGGGATTAATACTTGAAATTACCCAAAATTGCGTTTTTCCATGTTAAAACATGGCCTTAAATATAAATGTGAAGAAAAATTATTGTTTTGTAGATTTTTTTATTTTTTTATTAACCTATTACTTCATGAGCATTTTGTGAAAAATGGCTGTTTTCATTGAAAAGTCTCCCGTAACAAGTTCAAATTGCTATAAAACTATAAAAACTGCTTCAATACTAATCAAACTTGGCACAAGTGTTGACTGGACCATTGCCTTTGCAGCAACATGCTCAGGCTTAAATTTCCTGTTACCATGGCAACGAGGGGACATCTCAAAATTGCAGAAAAACACTATTTTGCGTTGATTTTTTCCATCAAAATTGATTTCAAAGTGCTGCAACTTTTAAATCGATTGAGATAGAGTCAAATGTTTTTCAGCGTTGGTTACACGTTACCTTATGATCAATCTGGGGTCAATTTTAGCCTTTCACAAGTCCAAAATTTTCTTGGCGATGAGGGGGACTACCGCCCCCTTCAACTACCCCCAAACAGATGGGAGCACATCTCCCTTCTTGCAACCCCCTGATGTATCTTTTGGTTGGGGCCGCGCCGAATAAGTGGTCTCATTTTTAAACAACATTTCTCAAACAATAACATGTGTTCGGGGCCTAAATAAGGCTTTTTTACACCATTTTGAGACAACAAAAAAGGAAGGGGTGAAAAAGGCGTTAAAAAGCGTGTATATCGCGTAATGGGTAAAACATACAGTCCCCAGGAAATGGCAACCTGTCATAGATGTCAAAAGTTTGTTGTTATTTGTTATTTTTTTCTTTATTACTATAATTATTATTATTATTTTGAATAAATATTACATTTTTTTATCTAAAATAAATATAAAATAATATAAATTCATGAACATAAACATATATTTTCATATATCCTTGATAGTTATTGTGAGTCCCGCATGTTAACTTTAACAATATAAAGCTATCTCGAATCCCTGGATTTCCCCGAACTTTATCGTTTTATAGATCTAGAAGTCTTCGAGTATTTTTGGGGGATCTGTTCTTAATCGTGAATAAAGCTAGAGTTATCGTTCTTTAATTAAACAAATGGACACAACAATGTTTTATTTGATTTAACATTTAACGCTAATTAATTGAAGACATTTGCATTTTCCAACTATGCATGTAATGTATTTATCTGTCTCTATTGCCTAGAAGGACAAGAAACATTTCCTAAACTTTTAGTTAACAATATTCGTTAGCATTGGATTTTAATCGTCACACAGAACATATTCTATTAACAAAATAAACAATTAGTTTTCATTTTGCATATGCCACAAAAACATAAACGACTAATAATTTGACACAATTAAAAAGCATGTATTGAACATTTACTTCTTCACACTAGATAGTTTGTCATTTTGCACAACACTTAAATTAAAAGCAATGATACAAATTCTGCATTAACAATCTTCATTACTATTACTTACATTGGCATGCATACATTTGAAACTTTGCATTGTTGTTACATAGAAGAAGGACAAATCTAATATGTATGAATAAGAGTGCAATTAACATACACACATTCTTAGTTCAAAACTTTTTAAGACATACGATGATAACTTCTGAATAACTACTTTGTTATCATTGTTAAAAAGCTCAGTAAATTTTAGTACATTAGCATTTCTCCAAAAATATTCTTTTATTTATCGTTTGCGTAAGTCAATATACAGAGGACACTCTAGAAAACATACGAAATTCATCCTCTAATGTTTAACAGATTAAACATTAACGGTCTGAATATGGGATCTTTAAAGGTTTGTGCCACCTGCCTGTTTCTATTTCTAATCTATGCGCCGAAACCCTAAGCGTTGAAAATGCAATTCTTAACCTGTTGTTTTGATAATATCCAAATACGGCTAAATTTAAATTTTGCATATAAATTATATGTTCTTGCTCTAGATGACCCTTGTAGTTGACTATTCCAATTTTGTATCAAACCATCAGTAAGTCTGTTTTTAAAATATTCCAAAAGTAAAGTTTTTTTTCCTACTCCCTGAAACAACCATGCATAACTAAAACCTAAATTTTCTAACAACTCTTTAATAGATTTAGCCCAATAATTTTTTGGAGGATGCATATCTAAATCATTCAACATTAAGCAATAAACCTTTTTAATATACTTATTTCCATCACTTTCAATAATTTTAAACCAATAACGTACAACAGTTACTAACTGTTTATAAAATAAAGTTGTGCGGCCCAGTTCACCATGTATCTCCTAGTAAATGTTTGCAAAATTGTAAGTGAACTCGTTCTATTTTTTCTGAATTATAGAAACCCCATACCTCAGTACCATAACTTAAAATGGGTACAATAAGTTTATCAAATAGATTTAAACAATGACTTATTGTAAGACAAGGGAATTTCACTTGATACGATTTTAATTTGAATATACCCTATAAAGCTTGACCACTTAATATTTCACATGTTGATTGAAAGAACCTCCAGTACTAAATACAATACCTAAATACGAAAAAGAATTAACTACTTCAAAAGCAGAATTTTGATATATGAATTCTATGATATAAACATGTCATCAAGATGCATCAATCTGACTAAAGTTCAGATCAGGTAGTTCTGATGATGACTTCTTTATAATTCGGATTTCCCGATAAAGCTATTTTTGGCTATGCAATCAAACTGGTGTAAGCATTAGGAGAAGTGTCAAAATACTGTTTTCCATTAAAGTTAAAAAAAAAGATTTTTTTAGGAAAAAAACAATTTGAAGTAATTTTCAACAAATTAACTTGAAATAATAGAGTCAACTTTTAATTGGCAAGATTGTTTTGCCAGTTTATCTGTCGGCTATATGGACTTCACCATGTTTGTTCTCGGAATCGTGAAAATTACCTACTTAGTATTGGTTTTACCAGGGTTAAAATTAGAAACCACATAACTTTAAAATTATAAAAGCTCGCCAATAATTGGCTGTGTGAAAGGTCACCAGAAATGACTGCATATTTGGTCACGGTCAGATCTAAAAGCGGAGAGCGTTATTTAGAGCTCATTTTAATCAGAGTGCAAAGTATATACTTTGGCGAATATTCACCTCCATTCTTGTGAGATCATGTTACAGTAAAAAAAAAGTTCGGGAGCATAATACTGTTACAGTAACCCTATTGTGCTGTCTTTTTATCCCAATTTTTAGCAAAGAATATTTTATCAGAATTTTCATAAATCTCAATTTGTTGAAACTGCTTTTGTAATGGTGTTGGACAGGGAATACCATATCATGTTTGTTTCAGAAATTTGACGTAGAAGATGGTGCTGATTGCCAATCAAATTGGTTAGAGGTGCACGATGGATCCAGTGTTAATTCTCCATATGTAGCAGGTATCCATAAATATTTATCGACACACTTATACATAATATAATATGTTAACATAAATATTTGAACAAATTTGCCATTTACTATTGTCAAATATTGTTGAAAGGCTGAGTCAAATGACATTAATATACAATGAGAAAAGTAAATAATTCGAGGAGAGTTTTTTATCGCGCGTTATTTAACAGCTCACATTTAACACTCATGGTCAAGAATGAGTACCTGACTTTTAAACGTCGTGTTTTATTTCAAAGCATTAATGGGTCTTACACTGTATCAAACTATAGTCCTTTTTATCTACTGATATTTGAAACTGTTTTAGCATTTATGTATCGAACATTTTACTCGTTGATATATCAAACATTTTACTCACTTGCATTTTACTCGTCATAGTATCAAACGTTTTACTAGCTTATGTATCAAACATTTTTCTCGCTGATGTATCAAAACTTTAAAAAAATATTTAGTAATAAATAAAATTTACTTACTGGAAATCAAACGGTTTACTCGTTGATGTATCAAACTTTTTACTCGCTGATGTATCAACGTCTTATTCGTTGATGTATTAAATTTGCTTGTGTATCAAATGCTTAACCTCCCGATGTATCAAACGTTGGACTCGCTGATGTATCAAACATTTAACTCGTCAATGTATTTAACGTTTTACTCACTGATGTATCAAACGTTTAACCCAAACATGTAACAAACATTTTACTCGCTGATGTATCAACGTTTTATTCAAAAACGTATTAAAACGTTTTATTCATTGGTGTATTAAATGTTTTACTCGCTGATGTATCAAACGTTTCACTCGCTGATGTATCGAAAGGGTTTAATGGCTGATGTATTAAACGTTTTACTCGCTGATGTAAACGTTTTACTCGCTGATTTATCAAACGTTCTACTCGCGGATGTGTCAAACGTGATACTGGCTGATGTATTAAACGATTTACTCGCTGAAGTATCAAACGTTTTTACTGGCTGATGAACCAAACGTTTTACTCGCTGAAGTAACAAACGTTTAACTCGCTAACGTATTAAACGTTTTACTGGCTGATGTATTTAACGTTTAACTCGCTGGTGAACCAAATGTTTTACTCTCTGATGTATCAAACGTTTTACTCGCTGACGTATTAATCGTTTAACTCGCTGATGTATCAAACGTGTTACTGGCTGATGTATCAAACGTTTTACTCGCTGATGTAACAAACGTTTTATTCGCTGATGTATCAACGTTTTACTCGCTGACGTATTAAACGTTTTACTCGCTGATGTATCAAACGTTTTACTCGCTGATGAATCAAACGTGTTACTCGCTGATGTATCAAATGTTTTACTCGTTGATGTATCAAACGTTTGACTCGCTGACGTATTAACCGTTTTACTCGCTGATGAACCAAACGTTTACTCGTTGATGTAACAAACGTTTTATTCTCTGATGTATCAACGTTTTACTCGCTGATGCATTAAATGCTTTACTCGCTGTTGTATTAAACTTGTTACTGGCTGATATATCAAACATTTTTCTCGCTGATAAACCAAACATTCTACTTGATGACGCTTTAAACATTTATTCGCTGATGAACCAAACGTTTTACTCGCTGATGTATCAAATGTTTTACTCATTGATGTATCAAACGTTTGACTCGCTGACGTATTAACCGTTTTACTCGCTGATGAACCAAACGTTTACTCGTTGATGTAACAAACGTTTTATTCTCTGATGTTTCAACGTTTTACTCGCTGATGCATTAAATGCTTTACTCGCTGATGTATTAAACTTGTTACTGGCTGATATATCAAACGTTTTACTCGCTGATAAACCAAACATTCTACTTGATGACGCTTTAAACGTTTTACTCGCTGATGAACCAAACGTTTACTCGTTGATGTAACAAACGTTTTATTCGCTGATGTATTAACGTTTTACTCGCTGATGCATTAATTGCTTTACTCGCTGTTGTATTAAACTTGTTACTGGCTGTTATATCAAACATTTTACTCGATGATGAACCAAACGTTAAACTCGCTAACGTATTAAACGTTTTACTGGCTGATGTATAAAACGTTTTACTCGTTGATGTATCAAACGTTTTACTCGCTGACGTATTAATCGTTTATCTCGCTGATGTATCAAACGTGTTACTGGCTGATGTATCAAACGTGTTACTCGCTGATGTAACAAACGTTTGACTCGCTCATGTAACAAACGTTTTATTCGCTGATGTATCAACGTTTTACTCGCTGACTTATTAAACGTTTTACTCGCTGATGTATCAAACGTTCTACTCGCTTATGTAACAAACGTTTTATTCGCTGATGTATCAACGTTTTACTCGCTGACTTATTAAACGTTTTACTCGCTGATGTATCAAACGTTTTACTCGCTTATGTAACAAACGTTTTATTCGCTGATGTATCAACGTTTTACTCGCTGACTTATTAAACGTTTTACTCGCTGATGTAACAAACGTTTGACTCGCTTATGTAACAAACGTTGTATTCGCTGATGTATCAACGTTTTACTCGCTGACTTATTAAACGTTTTACTCGCTGATGTATTAACCGTTTTACTTGCTGATGTATCAAATGTTTTACTCGTTGATGTATCAAACGTTTTACTCACTGACGTATTAAACGTTTTACTCGCTGATGAACCAAACGTTTACTTGTTGATGTAACAAACGTTTTATTCGCTGATGTATCAACGTTTTACTCGCTGATGCATTAAATGCTTTACTCGCTGTTGTATTAAACTTGTTACTGGCTGATGTATCAAACGTTTTACTCGCTGATAAACCAAACATTCTACTTGATGACGCTTTAAACGTTTTACTCGCTGATGAACCAAACGTTTACTCGTTGATGTAACAAACGTTTTATTCGCTGACGTATCAACGTTTTACTCGCTGATGCATTAAATGCTTTACTCGCTGTTGTATTAAACTTGTTACTGGCTGATATATCAAACATTTTACTCGATGATGAACCAAACGTTTAACTCGCTAACGTATTAAACGTTTTACTCGCTGACGTATAAAACGTTTTACTTGTTGATGTATTAAACGTTTTACTCGCTGACGTATTAATCGTTTATCTCGCTGATGTATCAAACGTGTTACTGGCTGATGTATCAAACGTGTTACTCGCTGATGTAAAAACGTTTGACTCTCTGATGTAACAAACGTTTTATTAGCTGATGAATCAACGTTTTACTCGCTGACTTATTAAACTTTTTACTCGCTGATGTATCAAACGTTTTACTCGCTGATGTATCAAATGTTTTACTCGCTGATGTATCAAACCTTTTACTCGCTGATGTATTAAACGTTTTACTCGCTGATGTATCACGTTTTACTCGCTGACTTATTAAACCTTTTACTCGCTGATGTATCAAACGTTTTACCGTCCGATGTATAAAATGTTTTACTCGTTGATGTATAAACTGATTTACTCGCTGATGTATCAAACGTGTTTCTTGCTGATGAACTAAACGTTCCACTCGCTGATGTATCAAACATTTTCTCGTTGATGTATCAAACGTTTTACTTGCTGATGAATAAACATTTCACTAGATGATGTATCAACAGGCTACTCGCCGCTGTATCATACGCCTTACTTGCAGCTGTATCAATTTATCAAACGTTTTACCCGCTGATGTATAAAAAGTTTTACACTTGATGACGTATCAACGTTTTACTTTCTGATGTACCAAGCGTTTTTTTACTCCTTGATGAATAAAACAGTTTTTCTCGTTGATGAATCAAATGTTTTATTCGTTGGTGTATCTAATATTTTATAAGCTGATGTATTGAAACTTTGTATTCGCTGATGTATCAACTGTTCTTCTCATTGGTGTAAAACAACATTTTACTCACTTATGTATATAACATTTTACTCGCTGAAGAATCAAGTTTTACTTGCTGGTGGTGTCAAACGTTTTACTTGTTAATGTATCAAACATTTTTCTTGCTGATATACATGTATCCAACGTTTTACTCGCTAAGGTAACAAATGTTTTACTTGCTGATGTGTCATATGTTTTACTTTGAAATATAGCATCATGTTTTAGTTTCTATATTTATCTGTTGCTGTTCTCTTTTAGCTAAGTTGAAGTGTTAGACGCTTGCCAGATAAAAAAAAACGATTTAAAAAGATTAGGAAGAAAGTAGGTCCGACTATTATTGTTTAAGACGTTAAATCATTTATTTTTAGCGTCTTACATAACTAGTTGTTGATTTAATTTTTTGTAAGCGTTTATTAAGATAGGCGCGACGTTTGATTGACGCTGTTAGGAAGATTTTCTGGGAAAATAGTCAGATAGGCCTTCTGATTGGACAAATAAGCAAGGCAAAGATTACAAAGCGATAAGAAGATTTGCGATCAGTAAAAATGACTCTTATTTTTTTGATTTTTTTTTTTTTTGATTTAAGAATATAATTTCAACTTCAGGTTTAATCGGGAATCTATGTGGGAGATCAATAGGCAATGCAGTGTGGGTAACAACCGGATCCAATCTTTTCCTGTATTTTCAGAGCGGAACTCAATACCAGAGCATGGGCTTTGACATGGTGATTACCCAGTTTCATACAGGTCCAGTTTATCATTTTTCTTTGTTCTGATAATATATGACGTCACATATTTGTATATATGACGTCAGCCATGAACATAATCAATTAAACCGAGCATGCAGCATTTTTAACTACGTAGTATTGACAATAAAAATCAACCTGAAACTGATTTTTTTTTCGAAAAGAGTTTGAGTTGGGTAAGGATCTCCACTGAGGTCAAAAAGTCTAAAAAATGGAAAAAATGCAAAGTGTTGTTAAGAAATATACTATAATTTAATTGAAGATAAAGTTTTTGTGCGATTTTTACCATCATTTGAGCGAAAAGCGTTGCATTTGCACACAGTTACTGACCTATAACAACGTTAGATTTTGTTCATTTTAGGAAAGTTAAACGCAAGTGATATTTTTAAATATTTTAAGGCAAGTAAATATTTTTAAGGAAAGTGTAACACAAGTGATTACTTTTTCAAGGAAAGTGTAACGCAAATGAACGCAAATGATTATATTCAGGAAAGTGTTACGCAAATGATTATTTTTGTTTTAGGAAAGTGTAACACAAGTGAGTATTCTTGTGGAAATGGACGTTGCATCTGTGATGGGTTGGTCTGTAATGGATACAACCCATGCGGAGACGAGTCTGACTGTATTGGTGTCCTCGCTGCTGCAGTAATCGTTGGCATTGTATTTGGCTCACTCATTTGTTGTATTGGACTGACTTGCTTGACAATCGTTTGCTGTGCACGACGCCGACGACGCTCTAAGGTAAGAAGTCCCCTTTTTATTCTATATATTCATATATCATTTCATATCAATTTATTGAAAACCTTTTGATAACCTTTTAGTAATTGTACAAAATTCAGGAACCTTTTAGAACTGGCACAACTTTCAGGAACATTTTAGTATTGATACAAAATTCATTCATGAACCTTTTAGTACTGGTATAAAATTCAGGAACATTTTAGTACTGGTACAAAATTCAGGAACCCTTAAGTACTGGTTCAAAATGTAGAAACATTTTAGCACTGGTACAAAATTCAGGAACATTTTAGTACTGGCACAAAATTCAGCAATCTTTTAGTAGTGGTGCAAAATTCAGGAACATTTTAGTACTGGCACCAAATTCAGGAATCTTTTAGTAGTGGTACAAAATGCATGAACATTTTAGTACTGGCACAAAATTTAGGAACATTTTAGAAATGGTAAAAAATTCATGAACATTTTAGTGTAGGTACAAAAATACTGATAAATAGTCCTCTAAAAATTCGTATGTTCCTGCTCGCCTGTATCTCATTGCAACAGTCAACAATCTTCAAACGCCACACAGTGATTACCTCCCTCTGTACTGATAAGGGGAGATCACTGCGTAGAAGATTGGACATTCTGGTGCTAAAACCTTCAAAAAGATATGCTGTTTATAAAGTTTGCCAATTCTAATTTTCAGAGAGGTATATATCAGCCCGTTATTGTGACGCAGACGACAGGATATGGGACCGGATATAACTACACTACATGAAGAAAAATACATATAAAACTGTGTACATATTTGTAATGTCGACCGTAACATTTATATAAACCATATACACGGCAACTGTGAAATTATAAAACAATGTCAAGGTTTTCTCTAAAATGAAAGTTTTCTGTATTATAAATTTGTTACAGGTTTATCGGTAGTTTATAAACGCTTCTTTGAAATAAAACACTAACGTAGCGGATCATTCCCATTTTTATATAGAGTCATATAACATTTTACTAATAATATATGTGTTTGTACTGAATGACTTAACGATTTACGGATGAATTTATTTTCGATTTTAACTCACTATATGTCTTAGTTATAGACAATAGTGCATATATGTTGAAAGTTAACTTTTTGCTTGCTGGCTGTGCACTCTTCACTAATCACATAATACATTTGTATATAATTCATGATAATTGGAAATTGTTTCATGGTTAACGTCCTAGCTCATTTGTCTTTAAATTAACATTTCAAAAGAATAACATATTTTTTTATAAATTTTCAAAAACTTTCATACTTTCATTGATTTGTCATACTGATTTGACTTCCTTTTATCTTTTATAATCCGTTTACTTTTTATTATTTTGTATTTTTCTTCTCTGACGATCTGTTACTAATTGTCGTTGTTTTTACATTTGCTTAACTATCAATCTCTCTAGCAAGTTTAACTTGAAATATTTTATTTTGCTTGTCATCCTGTGTTTTATAAAGAAATTTAATAAAATATATATGAAAAAAAAATAGTTAACTTTCAATATGAAATGCCCTGGTCAGTTTTTTTTTAATCTTTTCTGTTTCATTGTGAAAGAAAAATTATTAGTTAGGTTTGGATCTTATTAAAACAAATCTCGAGTCCATTTTTTTTTATCTAAGTAGAACTTAGTCAGAGGCAAAAATATTGCCATGATCCTCTAGTATTGCTAAACCTACTACCACTTGCATTGAAGTCATCCTTCGCTTGATTCCTATCCGCGTCTGCTATACTTCGTTTAATTTGATTTATTTCACAACATGTTTCTGTCTTTGGTCACTCACGTGGTATGTAACTTGTCAAAGTACGTGCAAGTCAAAACAGTTAAACTGCTTGAGTCGGTGATAGGGAGGGGTTGTGATGAGGAATAATGCGCGATTCAAGACCAATTAAATCCAACCGATTTGAGGATTTGGTGCACATGTTATTATCTGTCTTATAGTGACGAATTTTTTTGTAAAGAATTCGGATGGAGGTATAAAAAGCTTTATTTTATACCGAATGATGCTATATACATTATCTATGATTTAAAAAAATGTTCTGGGTTCAGCGACTTTAATAAGAAAAAAATAGAATGCCGATAAAAGAACAATGGTTTATTACAATGAAGGGATTTGCATTAAAAGTTGAGTAATATTTATTTTTTTTTCCATTGCAAATGTACTAATCAAAAGTTCAATGAAGTTTGATTGGGTCATTTAGCAAAATTTACCAGAACATTAATCAAAAAACATATCTTTTGCTCAGCTATGTATTGTATTCAATGAAACATTCGGCTTAAGCCAGTCAATCACCTAACTATCATCTATAAATGACCTTGTTAACGAGCTATATTTAGCATCTTATAATTCAGTGAAACTTGATTGAATCATTAGTTCAGCACAGAACAAATTCATTTATTATTTCATCTCATTTACTTCGTCGGCAAAATGCTTAATACAATATTAGGCAATTATGTTACTTTGTTCGATAAAAAACTTTTTCATGTAAAAAATTATTAATGTTGTGATAGTTTGTGAGGTCAACAGAAGTCAAATGGTGTCATATATTTGGAATATGAAATTATATTCGTTTCAAATTTGAAATTATTTTTAAATGTTATTTGTATAAGAGATTCGAGCATATTGAAAACTTCTTGAAAAAAAAAATAATCGGTCGAGTTAATTTTTTGATCAGTTTCATTTAGTCATAATTGTTTAATCATATAAAAGTATCGTAGACACAATGTATTGCCAAAAAAAGGAATAAAATCTCAACTAAAAAGAACACATAAAAGATACATTCGACCTTTTTCGCACGGTGTTATATTTTTATAAGTATTTAAAAATCAAACTACGAAAAATGTATAAAGTGTTTGCTCATTTTTAAGATCCATTTCTCGAACGATTTGATTTATCCAAAATATCGCATGTTTTTTTTTTTTTTTTTTTTTTTTTTTGGATTTACTTTGAAAATTCATCTCTGAGCAGTTTACCGTTGAAATTCTTTCAAACTAAAATGCTTTCTCTTCCACAAATAAATTTCTTAACCATGAACATGTTTGCCTTTTTCACTTGAAATGAATTTAAAGCCATTCTTTGGAAAAGATTAACATTCATTAATCATGTGTTAATATAAATTAGCCATCAATTTTGGAATCAAACAACACTTTTCGCGGAGAGACATAAAAATGTCACAAACTGAAATTTTCTATCATCAAAATCGTGTGTACAAAAGAGGAATGTATTAAATTAAGTAAAATATTTTGTAATTACAAGGTGAATTCTACACAAGGCAGGACAAGGTGCATCGATGGTAGATTGCGTTTCCCATTGTCTTGATGACCATCGACCGAGTCTGCAATATTTTCGGCCTTGTCGTGTTTGGCGTTTTCAATTAGTTTTGCGTTTTAAACTATTTCTTAATAAATATATATGAAACGGACTTTGTTCAAGCGTGTGTGACAATTAAATTTAAAAGCAGATAAATAAATAGCAACAATTTATTAATAGTAGTTAAAACAAATCATTCTTTCTGACTTATCTCATTGTTTAAATAAATAGCAATGCACAAAAAATAAATATACATCCATTCTTTCAAACTAATGTAATGACAATTCAATACAAACATGATTTTTGAATGATTAAACATCATACAATTAATAAATTACAATAATTTTTAAACATCTATATATCACAGTTCCACACGGTTTCCATCTTTCAGTCATTCGTAAGTTTTATATCCTGCGTAAAATTTCTGACAAAATTACAGAGGTAAGCACAGATTTTGTTACAACATCTTGGTGGTTATTGAATGGCTTATAAGCTGTATGTCCGGCATGAACTGGGTATGCCCCAAACCTGGAAACTCCGAGCGGCATAAGTGCTGGATACATTATTTTAGGAGCCGGTGCATAGTACGAAGTGGCTGTCATGGCTGCGGGAAAAAACGGTTGCACCGGTTTAATATAGTTTGGTACTGGAACGGTGTTCGGATAAACATAAGAGTTGTACGTCTGTCTGTTTATCAGTTGAGGAGAGAGCAAGTTTGGGAAAAACCCGAGACCTGAAATGATAAGAATAATTGTAATTGTGTCGGCATCATTAACATTTTTAAAGTTCAGTTCTCTTGAGTGATACCCAACATAATTTATAATTTTGCAGGCATGAATAAATTGATGAGCTTTGATGAAAAGGTTAACATATCTAACGCCCTTTCAGCACTGGCCTTCTTTTCAAGAACGATTGATAAAGAGGCAAACTAAAAGCATTTTTGTCGTCTCTGCTTTTCGGAGTATAAAAATTATAGCAATTCTAGAATCAGTATGACAAAATATAAACCTTTATATTGAGAAATGCTTGTAATAAATATGAGTTATCTATGAAGTGCACACTAAGTATTTTCGTAACATTAATGCTCATCAAATAAAATGTATCAAGCAGCGTTTTTATTCATTCATACTTTGCAAGTATTAAAAATGCGTTTAGTCTTAATATTGTGTTACATCGACTGCATTGAAGAAAGTCAATACTAGTACATTTTACTTCGATGAAATAACACACACACAAAAACAGTTAAAATTAAGAAAATTTGGTAGGAAAATGTTTCAATTATGCTGAATTTTTTATCATAATTAGTATTATATTATTTATAATTATTATTATTTTTATTATTATTATTATTTATTTTATGGAAATTGCGAAAAACACTTATATTAAGTTCATGTTAATTAATCTTGTACTTTATTCCAGCGTATGAAATATGATTTATTTCATTTACGATTCATCTATCACTATCCAGATTAAAATGAATCACGTCACGACAAAACAAACATAATGTGTTTGCGACCAGCATTGATCCAGACCAGCATGCACATCCACGCAGCCTGATCAGGATCCATGCTGTTCGTTTACAACTCTATTACAAATAGAGAAACTGATAGCGTACAGCAGGCTAGTTTGGATCCATGCTGGTCGCAATCCCATTTTGTTGGTTTTGTCATCATGATACGGCTCATTATATCTTTTAATAATTTATTAAATTAGGTATCAATTGTATTACATTTGCACGAACAAAAACAAATGAAAGCCGTATTGTTTTAAAATTAAAAAAATTTTATATGAATTAAAATAGTATTTAATTATTAATTATAATTAAATATACATACCATTATTTTTGCTATTATATGCCTGAGCTGTGCCAATGTACACGGTTAAGAGTACCGCAAAGTAAGCAAATCTTGTGAAATCCATAATTTGTTTAATGTGAATATTTGAAGACGATTACTAAAGAGACTTGAAACCTTTTTGTTTTGGTAGCATAAATTTCTGAGTTAGGTATTTATATTAAAGATGATAGGGAGTGCTCGAAAATTGGAAAAGAATATACTTCCTGTCCTAAACCTGAGTAAGCCGTACCCTTTCCGTGTGCTTCATAGCCAATCAAAACGGTCCCAGAAATTGGTCATCAGTAGCCATTTACCTTGTCATTATTATTTTTAATTGAGTCATTCAAATCTGTCGTTTGACATTTTATTTAACGTGACTGTTACAGAAAATGTAAACATTTTGTGTAATGGTCATCGGCAAATGTGTTACTGACCGGAAATGTCATTGGCCGGCCAACACAGCTGCTGTTAAGACAAGGTCATGTTAAGATATCTTTGTTGACTTTAAACCTGCAAAGTATAGAAGTACCTGTATCCAGCGAATAAATCAATTACAGATACGCAATTTCTAGAATTTTTGAAATAGAAAAAAAATTGAATTTTAATCGGGTAACCTTTTCTTCTTCAACTCAAAACAACCTTTCGAAAAGATGCCATTTATTACGCATATGGGTGAAAATCACTGCCATTTAGTACAAATATCTGTGACATTTAAAACAATTTTAACAAATATAATGGTATAATTCAATTTATTACAGACATTGGTTACATTTTATGTTAATAAATTCGTGAAATTCATTTTCATTTACGACAGACATTGGTGAAATTTAAAGCCATTCATTACAGGTATTGGTGAAATTCAAGCCATTAATTACAGAAATTGGTGAAATTCAATGCCTTTTACTGCAGAAATTGTTGAAATTCAATGCACATTATTACATTTTGGTGAATTTTAATGTCATTTAATTATTACAACAGTATTCATGAAATTTGTTGCCATTAATACCATCAATAACAAGGTTTTTTTGTTTTTTTTTTTGTTTTTGTTTTTTAAATCAATGCCATTTACTACAGGTATTGTTGAAATCCAATGCCATTTATTACAGAAATTGGTGAAAGTCAGTCAATTTCAGTTCTCAATGAATGAGAAATAAAACCACAAGAAATATACCTACTTAATCTACTTAAGTATTAAAACGGCTTATAAATCAATTAATTATATTACATGTATTATATTCCAAAAAACGTTCATTATTTCTCTGGTATTTATCATACTATAGTATTAGTACATATGTCCGCGATGCCAATTACCTTCTTTAACGTTACAATTTGTATAAACTATAATCGTTCTCGTTAGTAGTTAAACATAAAGCTGAGTGCTAATGTACTCATTTCACACCTTATTGTTATATGAACCTATTGTCATGCGTATTAAGAGTTACCATATTTAACGCTTGAAATACTTTATATCTTTTGTAGACAATAAAGACAAAACTATTCATTATTTTTGTGGGGAAAATTTCAATTTTATGTACTGACCAGTGCAGACCATGGACAAAACTTGCAATCTTTGTCTGTATGGTCCCATGGATATAATCATATGATACAGGCTAGATTAGGGTTAAGAAAAGTCTTGAACCAACGTTAAACTGGATCAGAAATAAAATAATAATAATATTAATGATATTTAACCAGAAAAAGAGAAGTTCTAACTGCTCCTTTTTTGTTTAAAGTAGGGTTTTATGGTCAAACAATAAAATCAAAGACGAAACATTTATTCAATGGCTTATTAAAATAATTTTTATACATACCGTTTATTAAATATACCATGTTACTACATTGATAAAAATGTATAAAAGCACTAATGCAACTTGTACCTACTTTGCTATGAAGTCATTGTCCTTATTTTTATTGCAGTTTCATTATTTTGGTATTGTCTATGAAACTGATTGTTTCTTGAATTTCTGCTTATTATTGCAACCAACCGTGTTCTGTTTATTGCACCTATGTTTTTTTTAATATTTCATGCTCGTAAACCATCTTAGCGGGCCGTCTTTAGTAGTTGCTTTACACAGTAACATTGTCTTCGAGCAAAGCAGGCTCAAATGTAAGGTGCAATCATGATTTCATTTATTGTTACAATACAATATTTTTTGTTTTACATACTCACATAACAGAAACCTTTGGCAAAGATGATATCTTCTTACATCCATCATTCATTTCAGAAATTGCACTTTGATGCATATGTTAATATCTGATAATTATGAAATAAAAATGATTCATTAGTACATTAAAATATCACTTATTGGCACCGAGGTCATATCTTGATTCAGCTGAAATTGATTGAAAAAAAAATGAACTTAATTGAATTCAGTTAATTTTACAATGTTCTGTTTGAGGCAAGCAGTTTCGTAATAGAATTGTCGATTAACCGTTCTTAAAGATAACGAAAAATAAATGAGTGTATTGTCTAAGTTTTTAATTAAATTTAATTATGATAATATCATAACTCATATTATGCACCTGGTACCTATCTATCTTTCTTTGACCATGTGGCCATATTTTCGTCTGCTAATTAAAAGCTTCAACATTTTGTACACGGAGATTGGTACCTCAAAATTTCAATCCTGATAAAATTTCTTTTTCAGATAAAATATTAATGTTATTTTAATATTATGGATCATAAATTTATATTTGAAAGTGTATAATAGAATCTATTTTTGCTTCTTTGAAAAGCATGAAAGATACACTAATTTACAAAATGGTATCTAATATTTAATACACATGTAAATGATATGAAAACTTTTACAAAAAAAAAACAACAACAAAAAACCGGCAGGACAGGTTTTTTTTCTAATTGTTAAGAAGTTATCAATAATGCACCAGATAAAATCCAGGGCCTTCAAGCCCATGTAACACAGAGGTTTGTCCAAACTCTCTGTTCTGTTTCGGTGCCATATGACCTATACTGTGTTAGTTTTCCGTAAACCAAACCAAAAAACCAATACATGCCCTTCTTTTCAACCGCTTTTGCCATTTTCTTGCTCGGTGCCACACTTGGTGCCTATCCGTTGGCCCTGTAGCTAGAAATATTGTCATTTATGATCGTTAGGGTCTCTTGGTTAACTCTGAACACATATATTTTATACATGCGCGGTAAAAAATGTTTTTTAATTTGCTATTTTCGTTTGACATTTATACAATCATCTTGAATTCTGTATTAAATGCCAATTAGGCTGTCTTCAAATCACGAGAAGGGTATGATTAATGCAGTGGCAACATAATGGTCAACAAAACAATGAATATTAAATTTTCAAAATCTATCTGATGACGGGTTTAATTAAAAAGATAAAGCTATTGACAAATGGATATTAATATGTTTGTTTTTCGCTGAACAAGAAACATTCCAAAAGTAAATGCATCTTATTAAAGAACGGAATCTCAGAAAATTCCTTGCAAGCTTTGTTTTTGCTTTTATTTTTTGTTTCTTCTTTTTTTTAAAATTCCCGGAAAATGTTACTGGAAAAAACACAACAAAAAACAACAACATACAACAGTGAATTATATCTTATAGTTAAATGATAACGTAGCATTACTTATGAGATAACATATGCATAACTTGATAACTAAAGAAGATTACATTTGTAAGTCTATGTGCATGATTGCTGCAAATGAAGTATAGATATTAAAAGGTATCGTTTTAACTATATATACACTCTCGAAAATTTACAATGTTTATTCATAAGAAGACACTGATATGAAAAGTTAACCATTCCCTTAAATAAATTTATTTAAATATTGAATGTTTTACCCTCTAGTGATATGACAAGTACGCGATTGGTCATTTCTTAAATTAAGACATCAAAAGACGGACTAGGACAAGGAGCGGAATTTTGACACACGCAAATGTTAAACGTCAGTAAAAGGTGATATTTAATTTTGAAATTTCAGAGTTCATTTGCCGATGGCACTGTCGGCTATGTTTATTTTTTTTTTTTTTTTTTTTTTTTTTTGGCGACACAGTATAGGTCATATCGCGGCGTCCCAGGCTTTGTTTAATAGTAAGGTTCATATTTATAAATCTTTGTATAATACTGCACGTTTGTTACGTCGCTTTTCATTGGATAATCGTGACGTGTATAGAATAGATTTGAATATATTTCATCTTCTTTATAGTGATGAACTGTTTAATGGCATTTATGGAATAAAGGGCTTTGAATTACAAATTTAATAATATTGTTAGATAGTTGTTTTTTTTTCGTGCAAACGTTTTAATCAAAACTTCAATGAAAATTGATTGGGTCATTTAGCAAAATTTATTAGAACATAAATCAAATAACCTATCTTTTGCTGTGCTCTGAATTGGATTCAATAAAGCTAGTCAATCACCTTACAATCATTTGTGAATGACCTTGTTACCGAGCTATATTTAGCAACTTATAATTCAGCGAAACTTGATTGAATCATTAGTTCAGCACAGAACACATTCATTTATTATTTCATCTCATTTACTTCGTCGGCAAAATTCTTAATACAAAATAAGGCAATTATGTTATTTTGTTCGGTAAAAACGTTTTCCTGTAAAGAATGTTTATAGTTGTGATAGTTTGTGAGGTCAACAGAAGTCAAATGGTGTCATATATTTGGAATATGAAATAGTATTTGTTTAAATTTGAAATTATTTTTACATGTTATTTGTATAAGAAATTCGAGCATATTAAAAACTTCTGAAAAAAAAGAAATGATAGGTCGAGTTAATGTTCATTACATTGATCAGTTTCATTTAGTTATAATTGTTTAATCATATAAAAGTATCGTAGATACAATGTATTGCAAAAAAAAAGAATAAAATCTCAACTAAAAAGAACACTTAAATTAGTATTTTTTTTAGATAAACTTTGAAAATTCAACTCTGAGCAGTTTACCGGTTTGAAATTCTTTCAAACTAAAATGCTTTCTCTTCCACAAATAAATTTCTTAACCATGAACATGTTTGCCTTTTTAACTTGATTTGAATTTAAAGCCATTCTTTGGAAAAGATGAACATTCATTAATCATGTAACCTGAGTTATTCTTTAATATAAATAAGACATCAATTTTGGAATCAAACAA